CAAGTTTAACATGACAGCAAATGTACAACGTTTCGACAAGGTTGTACATTTGCTGTCATGTTAAACTTGTATTAAAGTTTTTCTTCATTACCCATTTAAGCCGTCTCCAGCCATTAATAATCTCAGGATGTTCAGAAGTTATATTTTATAAATTTATAACTTCATTCGGATAAGTGAATGAAGTATCTAGCTACGTTATATAAATTAACACACACACACACATATATATATATGTTAAAACGAAACTTACCAAAAACCTGTCATCACATTGAACTTCTGCCAATACAGGACTGTTGTAGATCTTCAACTGTTGAAGAGCTCCCTTAAAAACAAGAAGAAATAAGACACAATAGGTCGCATGAGCTGTTATTCTTTGCGCAGGACGGCATAGTGCTAAGCATGTCCACACACAGGAGACGAGACGCGGCGTTGTTCTTGGAGTTATCATCACACCAGATGCGTTGAAATTAAAGATTTTCTTACTTTATAAACAGTAGTGTTTCCAACTCTCTTTGGCTGTCTAAGAGAACAAGGATGCAGAGCTTCCATAAAGTGGGGTTTCTGTTTATAAACAGAAGGAATTCAGCTTTCCTTTAACAACTCTCGAATCCCGGAAAGGAACTGGATTTAAATAGGTATACGAGAAATTAAAAAAATGGGGAAAAAATGCTCTTTAATCATATGAGTCACGCTAATTTTTTTCAAGCAAACCTTCATGTATGTAACTGCGCTTGTCAGATCATACAAAATATGCAACGCTACGCCACCTAGGACATGCAGGAAACCGGGATATAGGTCCTCACTGATTTGTCAACAATGAACACTTGAAGTGGAAGGAGCGAACATTTAAGCCAATTGTCACGTACACGGTCCTGGTAGCTGTACGTAACAGTTATGCTGTGATGGTCAGTTTAATGTAAGATAGCACTTGAGAAAACAGGATTCAAATAAACGAGGGAAACAACGTAAACCTTATATTCTGCAAAAAGTTTCCATCATGATTCAAAACATTCAGTACCTTGTATAACAGTCCATTTATTCATCCATTATGGTCGGTCCGTTAACCTAAAGCTTAAATAAATCAGATATCCTTGATTGATGTCATAGATAAAAAAAAAGATTAGTTAACTTCTTCAAAGTTATCTGATATCACTACTCATGTAGTAAATCTGATACTTAGAAAGCAATATTAGCTATCGAGCTGATAGTGCAACATTAATTGTAACAAAGCCAATACAGTAATAAACCTCCCATAAAAGGAATTTATAAATATAACTGCTATAGATCCAGATGTAACCCTTAGTTTTTTCTTTTAGAAACAAATGATGCATAAGGTATAGTACAAATTTAATAAATGGAAATAAAAGAACTCTCGGGTTATGGAAATTTCAAACTCACTATTAAAAATCACTTGGTGGAAACAATGAGAAATAAAGATATTTTGGTGAATTACTGATGTTATATTTGTAAAAAAAAAGCGGAATTAGACGTTATTAATTATGTACTATAGATTTAGATAGAACGTATGAAACTGACACTATATATTTTTACGTCTGGCCAACTATACGGGGCTTAGTAGTCTACGCGTTTTCTCCACTTGTTACAGATAATACGTGCAGTCCACAAGATTATTTTTACTTGCTATATCTCTCCTTCTGAAATGTACTTTCCAGAGGTTGCAAGTCACCCATTGTACGTAACGTAAAACATTATCGCCAGTTTTCTTCAGACATCCTGTACTACAAACCTCTTATAGTGTTCTTACGAAATTCCCGTATATTTAAAAAGACAATAACCGGTAGACCCCTATCGTTAAAAAGAATATCTAGCACAATACAACTCTAAAAGGAAAGCTCGATTATTCCAAGGGAACTTACATGTGTTCAACATGTTTTATTGTGGGAAATTGTAACGTTATTAGCTATCTCCTACAAATTAAACCTAGTAATTAAGGCCCTGAAGCCTTTTAAATATCTAAATATAATGGGAAAGGCCTAAGGGGTTAATCCTATTCGACATTTAGACATCCATTATCTAAAATTCAACATCTATTCATTGCCATCTCTCTTAAAATAAATGAATTACCTTAATACACTCGTTTCTTACATCTTCCTAATCAAGTAAGTAATACACCCGTTTCTTACATCTCCCTAATCAAGTAAGTATAATCACAATGAATTATCAGAAAGAAGTATACGCCGTAACCTGGGAGCGGAGAGTAACGAGCCCACGCTGTCGTGATTGGACGAGCCATCAAGGACCTACACTCGTGCTGTATAGCTCATTAATCAAAATACTCTAAGCTTAGATATCATACCGATTGTGTGGTTTAACACACAGGGTCTACTGTATCACATTAAATTGGTTTGGTTTGACTTGCAAGAAACAATGGAATTAATCTCCGTATCATATGTAATTATTATTGCATAATAAATACATTGTTATGTCAAGACGCACATTCTAAACGTGACTTGGAAACTGTCATATATAGCTTATCAACAAGAACCTTTAACACTTAGATCGTAATGAAATTTGACATCTAAGTTATCAGACATTGTTTACCTAGAAGAAACCCACTAACACAAGGATCATAATGGAATTTAATGTCTAAGTTATCAGACATTGTTTACCTAGAAGAAACCCCCTAACACAAGGATCATAATGGAATTTAATGTCTAAGTTATCAGACCTTGTTTACCCAGAAGAAACCCCCTAACACAAGGATCATAATGGAATTTAATGTCTAAGTTATCAGACCTTGTTTACCCAGAAGAAACCCCCTAACACGAGGATCATAATGGAATTTGATGTCTAAGTTATCAGACATTGTTTACTCAGAAGAAACCCCCAAACACAAGGATCATAATGGAATTTAATGTCTAAGTTATCAGACATTGTTTTCTCAGAAGAAGCCCCCTAACAGGAGGATCGTAATGGAAGTTGACGTTTAAATTACCAAACATTGTTTAACAAGAAATCTTAATAGAAATGTCTGAGCTAAGTCGTAGATTATGGGGTTTTTAATCTTTAACAGACAAAGATTAATAAAAGATAGGAAGAAATAAATCTTTATGTATTAATACTATTACGAAATTATAGTTTTATGTCGATAAAGATTAATGTCGCAAAGCTTAACAATATGCTTTAGTTTAAAAATAAGCTAGCGATTTGTATTAACCAACTCAATGTGACATGTTAATTTAAAAATAAGGTCGTGATTTGGATATATTAATTCACTGTGACACTATAGTTTAAAAATAAGGTCATGATTCAGATAAATTAATTTACTGTGACACCGTAGTTAAAAAATATGGTCGTGATTTGGATAAATTAATTTACTGTGACACTGCAGTTTAAAAATAAGGTCGTGATTTGGATAAACTAATTCATTGTGACACTGTAGTTTAAAAGAAGGGTTAGATCTGTATAAACGAATTCACTGTGACAGTAAAAAGTGATTTCGCAGACACGATTTATATATATATATCACTGATCTATCTAGGAACTCACCGTTGTGTCCACATATTCGGAGAACCTAAAGTTACAATTTTACTAAAGTTGATGGAACATGTAAAATCAGTGTAAAGTTACATGTAGTATGGTCCATAATATATGGAGTAATTTACGTGTAGTTAAGTTATGAAAGTATATAAATTTGAGCTGAGTTTTGATGTCACAAACAATAATTTTTTAGCAAGAATCTTTATTTCATAAATTTCATTACGATAGTGTCTCTTGCTGTATGTTATTCCATACATAATAATACGGACTGTTGTTTTTTTTCTATCTATTTAATTTTTCAAACGTGTGAATTATTTGTACTGCCTGTCTGTTCCATGCGTGACCTGAGGATCAAGTGCTATTTAGACCTCTTCCTCCAGCAGTATTTGTTTGTATTACTTGGTTTGTTTTGAATTTCGCACAAAGCTACGTGAGGGCTACCTGCGCTAGCCGTGTCTAATTTAGCAACGAAAGACTAGAGGGAAGGCAGCTAGTAAACACCACCCACCGCTACTCTTTCACCAACGATTGACCCTCACATTATGACGGGGATTCGAACCCGCGATCTTCAGATTGCGAGTCGAGCGCCCTAACCACCAGGCCATGCCAGGCCCCCTTTGTTTTTTACTTAAGTGCCATTGTTTTAAAACTGTTTTATTTCTTGGGGGTTATATTGTTTTAAAACTTCAGACTGTTTTATTTTTTTGGAGGTTATATTGCTTTAAAACTTCACATTGTTTTATTTTTTTGGAGGTTATATAATGGCTGCTACATAAGTATCTCTCGAAAATAGCATACTTCATAACAAAACATTCTCAGTAACTTTTAATTACAGGAAGCTACCTGCAAAAATCACAGAACGAAAAACTTCATCAAGTAAACAACGTAGCTATTTATTAGTAATACACCAATCTGACAATGAGTATGAAATGTCATAAAAGAAAAATTAAATAATTATCAGGATGTACAGACTCATCAGATGAGTATCATTACTGTTACACACACACACACACACACATACACATACATATATATATATATATATTTGCTGAATGATGTAAATTTTTCCACTTTTTTTTTCTTTGTAGAAAAACAGCTGTACTTAATCTAACGGTTTATCTGAAAGAATAAACTAGGACTACTATTCAAGATTTTCAATGGAACACTTTACAGAGTCTTTATTTCAATACTACATGAATATTTTTCAAAATCTGAAATCTATGGAAGGTATATGTTAAGCCTCCGCTGTTACTTTCAAAATATATTTTTCAAATGGAAAAGTTTTATAAAAAACACATTAAAAAGAATTAGAAGAATTGAAATTAAGTTTAGTTTCAATCCACTGGGTGGCGCCAATGATAATCCCTTGAGTTACAAATTATATGTTATACCTTTTACGATAAATAACCAACCAAATAAATAGGAGAACGAAATGTGACTTAATAAGATGTTTGATACCGGTAAGTCATTAGATTTGAGTGTTAACAGGTTACATAGGGATATCAAAACAGCAAAACAAGCTTGTAGAGGTTAAGAAAAATTACGGCCCGATTTTTGTTTTGTCGCATCAGGTGATGACAAACAGAAAACAAGCTCTTCGCACGAGAAGAGAACAACGAAAATATTTTGTTTATTATCCAGCAGCTAGCCAAAGTCTCCCACCGCCAGTTCTTGGCTTATTCTTAACTGATCAAATAGTGGGATTTGATCGTCAACTCCTACAACGCACCCATTTTGTAAACACCGTTAGATTTTAATATAAATCACTGTTTAAATGTTTACTACACGTAAATTTAAAACGCACAGTCTGTTCAAACAACGCTGCTAAACATATTAGTACAACATTATGCTTAACCCATTTTTGTTATAGTATAACCTTCTTCTTCTAGTCGGCTAGTAGCGGGGAGAACTAATTTACCAGAACCACAAATTATTTCATAGGAAACCTAAAGAGATAATTCACATGTGATATACCTGACCACATATTGTGTTTTGTTTGTTTGTTTGGAGTTAAGCACAAAGCTACAAAATGGGCTATCTCTGCTCAGCTCACCACGGGTATCGAAACCTGGATTCTAGCGTCGTAAGTCCGCAGACATACCACTGTGTCACTGGGGGGGGGGGCAATGTTAGGAGATGGTGAAGACAGTTTTGTTTGGAATTAAGCACAAAGCTACACAATGGGCTATCTGTACTCAGCCTACCACGGGTATCGAAACATGGATTCTAGCGTTGTAAGTCCGCAGACATACCGATGGATGTGTCACTGGGG